AGCGAGACTCAGTCTCAAAAAAAAAAAAAAAAAAGAAAGTTAATTGTGGCCTGGCGAGGTGACTCACGCCTGTAATCCCAGCACTTTGGGAGGCCGAGGTGGGCAGATCACCTGAGTTCAGAAGTTCAAGACCAGCCTGGCCAATGTGGTGAAACCCCATCTCTACTAAAAATAAAAAAATTAGCCAGGAATAGTGGCAGTCACCTGTAATACCAGCTACTCGGGAGGCTGAGGCAGGAGATTTGCTTGAACCCAGGACGCAGAGGTTGCAGTGAGCCCAGATCACGCCATTGCACTCCAGCCTGGGCAACAAGAGTGAAATTCTGTCTCAAAAAAGAAAAGAAAGTTAAATGCATCTGTTTTTAGAGCCTAACTTACCCAAGAATGGGACAGAGCTCTCTCTGGACCACAGGCAGGATTTGGCAGCACTGCTCAGGCAGATGTCATCCTGAGATCAAGGACCAAGCATTTTCTTACTTGTTGATGGAAAGAATTAGAAGCCACTTAACGTTCTGTCATTTGCACCTGTGTGGCTACTCAAGCATATAGATTTTATTTTGCAGTGAAATTATAGAAAAAAATAAAGAATACTGATTTTAGACTGTGCATGGTAGCTTATGCCTGTAGTCCCAGTACTTTGGGAGGCCTAGGTGGGAGGACTGCTTGAGGCCAGGAGTTTGAGACTAGCCTGGGCAACATAGCCTGACCCTGTCTCTACAAAAAATTAGTTGAGTGTAGGGGTGCACACCTTTAGTCCCAGCCACTTGGGAGGGTAAGATGGGAGGAGAGCTTGAGCCCAGGATTTCAAGGCTGTGATTTGCTGATTGCACCACTGCACTCCAGCCTGGGCGACACAGCAAGATCCTGTCTCTAAAGAAAAATAAAAATAAATTAATTAATTAACTGCCTTAAAAAACATTAGCCAGGTGCGGTGGCACACACCTGTAGTTCCAGCTACTCATGAGGCTGAGGTAGGAGGATAGCTTGAGCCCAAGATTTGGAGGCTGCAGTGAGCCACAATCACACCATTGCACTCCAGCCTGGGTGACAGAGGGAGACCCTGTCTCAAAAAAAAAAAAGGCGGGGGGTGGGGGGGGAAGACTATTAACTTCAGAAGTAGATGCAATGTATATTTAAAAGTAATCTAAGTATCTGTGTAAAGATGCTATGTTTGACTCATTGGCAGGTATTAATTCATTGCCCAGCGTTCTTTATTAAAAAAACAGCTTTTATAGTACACGCTGTGGTTACGTCATTTTTCTTTCAGAGGATTATTACTTTTTAAAAGCTTCTTAAAAACCTTCTTAAATTCCCAGTTAAAGCTGTTACATTCTAACCCAGTCTCAGAGCTGATTGGCTCAAAACCTCTGTGGGCCAGTAATGCCACATTACCCCGGAGGGGCGGGCAGCGCAGGGGTCAGGGAGCTGCCAAAGCCAGCCCTCCTACTGGCCAGCACGCACATTCCAGGGGATAAATAGGATTAAGTGCTCTAAAGAGGATTCCCAGCCCTCCTGCAAAGGAGGATCAAACACTCTGGTCTAGCTCCGGAACAAAAATAAGCCCCAGAGAAGGAGAAAGTGCCTGTTTAAACACCAGGTGGCCCCACCCCAAGCCTCCGCTCTTCCTCTTACCCCCATCTCTGGATGGCTGGGGAGAGCCCCTTTCCGCAGGCAAGTGTGCGCACTGGATCCAAGTCCGTGAGAGTGGGTTCAACCCACCCTTTTTGGTTTCCTAAATAGGGTCAGCCCCTGAGCAGCAGTGGGAGGTCATGACCTCAAATCTCTTCTAGCTGCTTTTGGGGACGAATGGATAAACTCTGTTAGGAAGCGCTGTAGCGCGTCTTAGAGAAAGCCCTTTGTATGAACTGCTCTCAGGACACTCTCCTAAATTTAGGTCCTGAAAGATTAAGGTAATAAAAACTGCTGACATTTGATTGCAATTTTTCTTGTCCAGGAAACAGACCAACCACATTGAACCAAAAAGCGCCCTTCTCCAAACTTCACCCCACCCCACCCACCTTTTCAAACTGTCCCGCGAGGAGAGGGGATGACACTGGCAGGGGTGGGCACCAAACTCGGACTCCCTATAAAGATGCCCCAACAGCACACGTGTTAATTCATTAACTCGGAGGGATCTGGGGTCACTGTGACGGTTTTCTACTAATAGGGAATAAAGCTCCTGCGGACGTTAGCGGTAATGCCCTGACGGCCGGCGCAAAGTTAACTCCTCCCGGGCCAGCAAGTGGAAACCGTATCCTGCCCAGGCAGATGTGCACTGGAAACGCGCGTGTCCCCATGCACACACGGGGTTTTAGGACCACTCCCCTTGCAAAGGCCAGACCCCACACCCATCCCTAGTCTTTTCTCCGGGGAGGGTGCGGCGGCAGCAGGCGGCCGTCGGATGTCCATCAGCTCAGCTTCGCCACGCACACGGCTAGGGCCACAGCCGCCAGCAGCACGGCGCCGAAAAGGATGGCGGCCAGGGCCTTC